GAAAACCGCAGAAGGCAGAGGCAGGGCAGGGCGCGCAAATTGAATGCGTCATTTGATATTGTACATTAGAATATATGAATAGAAAAAAAGCTTATAAATATATAGGATGCAAGTTATCGTGCCTATGTACGAAGGTTTATATAAAAAGCACTTGTGCATAGCTATGTTTGTATTTGTTGCATAAATGCACGTGTATGCGATTTAATGACTGCAACTAAATTACATATCACAGGCCACGGTCAGTTGGTCAGCGAAATAGAAAATGAAGTAAAAGTCACAGCCAGAGTTTCCCAGTTGAGTGAAATAACTCGGTAATTTTATTTTCAATAGTAATCCTAAGATAGGTTAGGTTAGGTTAATTTGGTAGCGGACAAGAGACACACACACTTGGACAATTGAGATATTGTCCTTTGTGACAACACTAAAGCTGAACCGAGAGTTAATTGGCCTGTCAGAACTCCCACCAATAGCGAAAGCTGAAGCTTTCTTTGTAAGCATAATAAGCCGCAGGAGAACAAATGTATTCCCAATTTTACCATACCCGATGAGAACGTTTTTTCAGGGGTGTTCTTACTAGCCAACTCGTCAGCTACCCTGTTTCCTACAAAGCCATTGTGAACCGGAACCGAAATTAGCTTAGTTAGGAGACACTCCGACGCGGTTGATAGATAGGTAAGACAATCGCTTACCGATTTCGAGCGCACCACCACAGTGTGCAGGACGTTTATGACTAAATTGCTAACAGAGTATATGCTGGCATTCCTCACTGACGTCTCACACTCTTCAGCAGTGAGTCTACCACTCCCTTCGTGGAAGCTATTTCCTTCTGAAAGATACTACAGAAATCCGGACGCCTGAATATATAGGTGTTTTTTAGAGAGCTCCCGGCAAAAGACACCTCCACCAATCCTGCCTTCAACTTTGTATCCCTCCGTGAAGAAATTCATCCAGTAACCCAGTCCTCTTTCGAAGGATTCCCTCGATTTTCCCTGGGGTGAAGGTTTTGCAAAGGATTCAAATATCAGTCCGTGGACAAAGAAGTGTATCCTTCTTATACACGGCCTCTATTCTGGCTTACTTGCAAACCTCTTAAATCGAGAAGACTGCTTCATTGTTAAAAGGCGCCGACCGCTCCAATTCCAATGTTCCAATTTATTTCGGCGCACGTATCGGTATCGAATGCGCGTCCAAATGACAAAAACCCAAAGCATTCGCTTATTGGCAACCCTGGTTTCCAATAAACTACAAAGGCATAACTAAAATTAAAGGGTACGAAATAGCTGTAATACTGCGCAGAAAAAGTGGTAAAAGGTTCACATCTACATACATATTTAGATACGTTTGTGTGTAAATGCATACCATTTGGCACGCAACTACCGCATTTGAATGATTTGAATGCAGCAAAAATTGCAGACTCGTGACGCGGAAATGTGTAGAATTCATCAATTGTGCTACCATTAACAACAATAACTGAACGCGCAGCAATTTGGCACACTAACTCATAAGTAAATACACAACATACATATGTATGCCCATTAGGTTGGTAAAAAAAAAAGTAAAGTCGGAATTTTTTATTTTGAAATCACTCAAAGCGCTCAAAATTGTCCATGTATTTTATATGGGAAACAACAAGTTTTCGTAGAACTTTCGAACTTTATTTTTCACATGCATTTTTGTACTACCCTAATATACATAGATATGTACAGTAGCTACATTTGCAAACATATGACTACTAATATATGTAGATATGTATATAAACACATAATTTTAGTATGCACATAGAGACTTTTTAATGGATTCCGTTGGCGCCAACTAGCTGTTACATATTACCCAGCTGCTTCTCCCAGTATCACTTTTAACACAAACGACTTTTGAGCTCCAACAAGTGCATTAATTTTGTCGCCTGCCTCTGTTTGTGGTCGTTGGACTTTTCGTGCCACCTACCTTGCCATATATGTAACTGCTTTCCGCGTCACACGTTTGTTGTATGCCACTTTTTGACCTGCACTACACTCTTGCTGGATAACTAAACGTTGACAGCGTTAGCTGCCAACAAAAATCTCGCACGTCGTCATCGCCATCGCCATAGCCATAGCCATAGTAATCAAGCGCTGTTCGTTTGACTTGTGCGGCGGATTAATGCCCGTTATATTCGGGTATGTTCATGCAAATTTGTTGATTGCTATGCAGCGATCACAAAGTGTGGCAGTTTTGCTTTGATAAGCTGAATGGGTGGACCTAAGTGGTGGGGTGGGTGGTGCATGTCGGCATGTCTTTTATTGCGCTGCGGTTTTTATTGAATTTGCTTTAATCGCGGTTTTGTTCGTTAATTAATTTGCGATTTGTGGTTGTTGAAAGGAATTTTACGTACGTATTTGCAAAATTAGAAATGTTACGAATACTTACATACATACGCGTATATGACAAATGCTGCTTATATTAGGCAAAGTGAAAAGGCACTTCAAGTGAAGTCATATACTTTTAATGAACATTATATATATATATATATATATAAAGTGTGAGATTTGAATGTACGCAGCCTGCGAAATTTGAAAAGTCTCCTTACTTTGTGAACACACCTCAAGTCTGCGTGCAACTGAATAGAAACGGTTTGAAATAAAATCGGTAGTTCGATCGTTAAGAAAACGATGGAAATATATGTGACCAAAAACATAAAAGCACCCTAAGGACTCTGCCTCGCCGAAGTTGCATACATGTCACAACTGTCCAAGCACTTTGGAATTGGTATAGATGTTAATCAGTATGCTCTTCTAGCACGGGAGAATGTGATTTTCCGTGTGACAATTTTTTGCGTCTAAAAGAAAATTTTCCAACAAAAAAAAACTAGCTATGAAAATATTTTTTATTTTTTTTTTGCCACAACTTCGACAAATATTCCATCGATACGTACCATATTAAGATGAAGACTTTCTGCTAACGGAAAATTATCTATTATAACACTATGCGACAGTCAAAATCGGGATGGGATGAAACCAACGGGAAATGTTATATCGGCCAAAAACAAGTTGTACGTGTCCCGGTGTTCCGCTGGGCCACGTCTAGGAATCGAGATATATATATAACTATCATATAGGGGAAATTGTCACCTTTGGTGGTCTTTTTTTGACATAACTCGAGAACCACTAGTCCGATTTTGCTCAAACAAATTTAAAAAAATTAAAAATTACAATTCCTTTTATCTGTTCATATAACGTTTTTCTATATAATCAACAGTTTTGCCGGTAAAAATAAATGTATGAAGAAAAAAAATATTTTTTGCCTAAAATATTAAATTTTTTTAAAACTGTTGATTATATAGAAAAACGTTATATGAACAGATTAAAGGAATTGTAATTTTTAATTTTTTTTAAATTTATTTGAGCAAAATCGGACTAGTGGTTCTCGAGTTATGTCAAAAAAAGACCACCAAAGGTGACAATTTCCCCCATATGATAGTTATATATATATCTCGATTCCTAGACGTGACCCAGCGAAACGCCGGGACACGTTAACTTCTTTTTTACCGATATAACTTTCCCCGGTAGTTTGAACCCTTCCCGATCACTGACCCCTACCATTTGTCTCACAGTGTAATTTGATTATGAGAATACTTTGAGAGCAAGATTAGTTGAATTTCTTCATAAATATTTTGGAAATTTTAACTTAAGCTTATATAGAAATTTAAATACCTTTGCTTGTCACATTATTGAGTTTGATTCAAATAACTAACAATCCCCGTTTTACGTTTTACCTTCACGTTTTAAATATTCTTCTTGTGCATACTTGTTTTGATGCCGAATTTGATTATCCGCATTGTTTACTCTTCTCTTAGCATTGAATTGATTCCATTAACAAATTTCTTTATTAGTTGGTATTTAAAAGCATTCCTTTGTCAGTGAATTTCCAAATGTTTGTTTTAGTTACTGAGATTTAATTGCGCTCAGTAGCCGCTGCTCGCCTTATTACCAAATTCCATTAATTCCATTGCTTGTACTCTTACAGTCATGCAATTGATTGATGATCTCAATATGCAGAGCGTATTCTATTTCTGTGTCAATTGGTTTAATTGAAAATTATAATTTGCCATTTTCCTAGTTAATTATATTCAAAGGAATCTGTGTTTGTTTCATTTGCAATAGGAGTTGTGTGGGGACTTTAACCCGAATTTGGATGTTAAACTGAACTTTCTTGAAGTCAACTGCCTTAACATCTGTTTAGAGTAAATAAAAAAATTATCATTTTTGCGCTCTGTAATTATTGCCTAAAGTTTTAAACTTAAATGGCTTTATCGACAGTAAAAAATCAGATTCAATATTTAGACAATAAACCCAAAAATTATGATCGCTCCTCCTCGAAATAGAACCAATTAATTTTGTTTATAAAGCGTTGACGATCGCAAAGTTTTGACTGGCTTAAGTCTGAAATACTCTCGGAAAAGTATTTATGAAAATAACGTTGCTTGACTTCCTTCAGCACTGAAGTGTTCGAACTATTTTGAAAGTGTTCGGCGCTTACGATTTCTATTTCTATTTCTTGGAAATTTCAACAGAAGTCCTTTCTTGAAAATCCCATTCCCACTGCGTATTTAGGCAGTGATCAATGCTGATTTCAGCAACCATCCTAAGTTGATAGCGTTCGATGAGAATGAGAGCGAGGGATCTATCCGAGTCGACTCTGGGCGATATTTGATGTGCTAACCCACGTTTTGACAGATGTTGCTCGGACTTCATGTTTTATTTTTCGTGAATTTGTCGGGAAATTTCGCGCATAAAAAATGGATTTTTTCGGAATTTTATTTCTGTAAAAATTCGTATAGTTTGAAATTATTAAATATTTGCTTAGCTCTTATAACAATGTGATTAGTCAGTATAAGACGACATTTCTTTCTTAAGAGGTACTTATAACACAAAGTATATACAAATTTTGAATATTGAAATCAGGCATTGTTTCAAAAGCTTTTAAATAGCTAAGAAACAATTTTTTTTAAATACTTTTCCAAGAGTTAGGCAATTTTCCGCTTTACTTGACGAATGATTAGCAGTCTTGATAAATTTTGATAGGGTATATCAAAGAGTAAAGTAAAAAGTGTTGAAAATAACACTAAAGTAACCACAACTCCAATGTATTCGAATAGCTGTAAGAGTAGATGAAAAATAAATCAAAAATAAAATATTAACAGCCATTGATTCGAATCCGTCATACTCACCAAATTCAAAGGATTGGCATACAAATTCGATTGACTAAAACCCGGCAACGCAAATATGAAAATTGGATTCAACATAAATATTGCATACGAAACTTGATTGAATTTCTGAAACACTATGGACTCGAAGAAGCGAAAAAACCAACGCATTTGGCCATACGCATTAGCCATTAACAAAATACTACACGCCAAGCTGAAGATAATCCGTTCCAATAGCAAAATTGAAGTGGCTGCGAGCGGCGAAAGATTCGCATAGGCTGGCTTCAATATACAGCCGAGTACTACTAGCGGCAGCAAAAGGCCACAAAATTGCTGCATACTTCTACTCAAAGCAAATGGTAATCGCCGCTGCTCTACGAACCACCAGCCGGCAATGCAGCCGCAAATGTAGGCCAAAATGCGCGACAAAGGATTGGTGTAGATTTCTGTCAAATGAGTAAACGTGGATTCGAGAGTGTGATCGAAGTTCAATTTGAGGCCGACGGCGTAGGTGTACAGAATATTGGCGATAACGAGCGCGGCAAGACAGAGTTTTGTGCGACGCGGGTGTCTGAAGAAGAAAGTAGAATACGAGTAGTTCAAATTTGTTATTACATTCAAACTTTACAAAAAAAAAAAAAAAAATAAAACAAAGTTACTTACTTGACATATGTGAAGAGCAAAACGCTAGCCAATATTGAAAATTGCATGTCGCATGCCAGCGACCAGGTCCACAGCGCACAAGCATCATTGTGATCGTAGAAATTTTGTATGAAGAATACATTTCGCCACCAATATTTGGCGCAATTCACGTGAATTTTGTGTTCGATGTGAAATAAAGTGATGTTGTCGAACAATGCCGCACCAAAGTCGGACATGGCGATGACTAGGAAATACATGGGAGCCAGTCTGGGGAGCAAATAAAAAAGATTAGGTCTTACGGTAAAAATGTTGATACTTGTAGCATTAAATTTTTTAAAAATCTATAATAATCTAATTTGTTGCAAGAGATTGTTGTAAGTATTTATATTAACTTGTAAGCATTAGCGGAGTTTTCGTTTTTTTTCTGAAATATAGATTGGGCAGACCACACTTAAATGCCAGTCGTCGTCGGGCATGCGTTCATCTGACCATATAAACAGAATCAAATCGCTCAAAGAAATTCGTTGGAAGAAAGTTCGCTGCCAAAATTAAAACACACTGCAGTATACGAGATTGCCCACAACCAAAGTGGCGACGAAGTCAGGGTTGCCGTTTTGGGCTTTTCCTACCAAAATTGGTATGTGTTTTTCTCGTTGGTAGGATGGTAGGACGCTAAAAATTTTGGTAGGTTTCTTTGCTTATAAAACAGAAAACCTCTCTGGCTTGGTGTAATGTGTCACTTTGTCAGCACTGTGAGTAGGCTTTCCAAATTTTGACAATATCAATTTTATATATAGGCAGAATTCTACCAATTACCTTCGGAAATTATCTGAACTATATATTCGTATAAAAAGTTTTATCCACTGCGTATCTAAATTAACAAGTAATTGAATCGATGGCTGCAAAGACAGGTTTATAAATGAGATATTTTTCTTTGAAATTCAATTGCGAATCGATAATAGTTTCAACAATGACAAGGTTGTTAAAATATTTTGAATGGCAATAGAAGAGTGATTGAAAAAAGAAAACCACTTATTGTTAGTCATATTTCCAGTAAATTGGAGAATCTCAAAGTTTTTAACCACAACTCTCTAGCTTTTCACCTGCATATGCAACACAAATAACAATAATAATAATGGGTCAAAGATGTTACTTACCTCAAATAGCGATGAAATAAGTGGCTTCCAATTAACTTTAAATTTTGTACGAAATTGTTCTTACGTATAATCTTCAATAATTTGACATTCCGGAAATGATTGTATGCTTGCAAGAAGCCGCTTTTGAAAAAGAGTTTTAAATTTAAAAAATAAAATAGTTAAATCTGATATATGTATGTACGCGTAATAATTTGTAATACCTGAGCGCAAAGAATATATCCACGAATATATCTACATTTCCGATCCGCACTTGATAATTGAAGAGCGTCAACTTGTTTCTGGTACCAGTGCAGAGAAACATCAAGTAATGATAGAGGGTGACGCATAGAGCGCTACCAAAACGCAAACCATTGAGGGCGGCAAATGTGTGAGCCAATTTAGGTGGCACAAAGATGCGCTGCCAATTCGCTGCGATATCAAAACAGGTGATAAAGCTTCTCCCCTCAAACTGTTGCTGAATAACCGCTTGAGAATTGGAGTCCACTGTGTAGTGCGAAGAATTACTAGACGGAGTGTCCATGGCAGCTAACGCTTCAGTTGTCTTTTTCTTGACTGCTTTCATACGTTCCGACTTTCTGCTAGACACAGCAACAGCTGTTAGACCGATTGTTACAACTACAAAAGCGCAGCATATATAGAACGAGGGTCTCATGAAGACTGCCGCCTGCCACTGTAGATCCTTCATGTAGTCGTACTGTAAATGCATTTCGAACAGCTCATTGCCAGCGAAGAGTCCTCTGCTCAAGTAGGTTTTCATGAGACGCCGGACATCGTGCTCAGCGCAAGCGCTTGGCAAACAAAGGCCTACATGAACGCGCGGACCAAAAGCAGTCACATGCGGATCCACCTGCCAGCTCAAGTTGTGACGCAAGTAGACAACGCGAAAGCCGGTATCAAAGGGCGCCACAGAGGTAAGAAGCGCCTCGTTCATTTGATGCGGCAGATAAGCGGAAATTTGCATGTGCACTTCATGTCCGACAGCACTGCAGACTTCACTATTACCCAGCCAGAAGTTGTGACCGAATGTGAAGCCTGGCTCGAGGGTGGCTGAGGCGTCGAACACTGTGAAATAATGGAAATTAGAAAAAAATGTATATCCATTACAGCGCAGCTATAGCTATGCTAGCTGGACGACTTTTATAAGACAATTGAAAGACAGAAAGATAGTTTAAAAGATTTTGTTTATTCTGGCACGAAAGTCTTAGGAAAAAAACTCTCTTCCCAACTTGCATGGTAAAAGGTTCTTTTAACAGAAGACACTTGAATATGTGGCAAATGGATTTTCGTTTTTTCTCGCGCTTTTTAATTTCTTTTTAATTTTAGTTACTCTAATTTATCTTATTTTTTTTACTTCAACGATTTTTATTGAGCTCGAACGGCCTCGAGCTCAATAAATATTGTTGAATATAATTGTTATAAGGCCAAAAAAATAACAAAAACAAATATTTTTTTTTAATTTTATTTCTCTTTTCTCGTTTTTCAATTGAATTTTTAGATTGTGTAAAAAGTAAAATATTTTTTAAGTTCAGTTTTTCTTTTTTAATTCAATTGTTTTCTTTCTAAATTTAATTTCTTTTAGTTTAAAATTTTATTGTTGTAAAAAGATAACTTTTTAATTTCATAGAACTTCTCTAAACTCGTTTTATATATTTTTCTGTTATATATTTATTTTTTTCCTTTTCTAATTTAATGGTTAAATTTTTGTATTTCATTGTTTAAAATTATTTTTTAATTTATTTTGATTTTTATGGCATATTCTTTTAAGTTTTAATTTTATATTTTTAAAAAGAAAAATTGCAGTTAAGTCTGTTAAAAATTAATTAATTATAAATTATTTTTTATTTTTTACATTCTTTCTCCTTTTACTTAAATTTTTTTTTAATCTTCGGATTTTATTTTTTTTAGGGAAAAGTTTTTTTTTAATTGCATACAATTTTTCAACATTTTAAATTTATTTTTCTTCTCTTTTTTATTTACTCTTCTTTTAGTTTCTAGATTTTAATGTTTAAAAATACATACGTAAGATATACATATATATTTTAATTTCTTTAAATTTTTAGTTATTTTATTTTGTTTTTATTTCCCTTTTCGTTTTTCAATTGAATATTTCTTTTAGTTTTTATGTTTTATTGCATAAAAACAAAACTATTTTTAAACTAAATTATTTCTTTTCTTAATTTAGTTGTTTTCTTTATTAATTCTTTTCTTTTAATTCCAATATTTTATTTTCATAAAAAGATAACTATATTTAATTTAATTTTATGGATATTTTTCTATTTTTTTTATTTAATCTTCTTTAAATTGTTTTATTTCTCTTAATTTTTATTTTATTAATTTCTTTTAATTTTATTTTATTTTTATTATAGTTTTTAGATTTTATTAGTATATAACATAGTTTTTTTTTGTTAATTTCATTTGGTTTGTAAAAACTTGTTTTTTTCTTTTTGTTAAATAAAATTTATTGATTTTTTAAATTTAATTTTTAGTTTTTATTGTTTTAAAAGGAAAACTTAATTTTTTTTTGTTCAATTTTATTTTAAGAAAACTTATTGCTAAAGGACAAACAGAATAACGCTAAGGCCCCCTTGCCGGCAGAACTTTCAGTTAGGGCCGTTTTCGCAATCTCTGGTTAACAGTAAACGAGAGTTGCCAGAATCGCCCTGTTAAAATATTATTCCTAAATACTTACTTTTCAATGCCCATGCTTCTTTGTGGATCACCCCATGCTGGAATAGCTGCAAGTGGGTGTGACAGCGCAGTTCAATGAATTGCTCATTGCTCACAACTGATAAGCCGTATAAGATGGATGTGCGTTGAAAAGTTTCATGTAAATTGTGCTGGGTCATCGACACTGGCTGTGATGTATTTGCTTTGGAAACGTCATTTGCGCCGGCGAGTGCGATTAATTGGCACAAAAATAATATTTTTATTTTCATCTCATGCATTATTTTTGGAATTTATTCAATAGCTACGCACTAAACGAAATTTTTTCACAGTTAATTTTTTGCACCTATTCATAATCAAAAATAATTTATGGAATTTTCTCGGCTCTCATTTGTTTCGTTTTTTATATTTCTTTTCAATATGCACATTATTTACGACACTCGCACTGCCACTTCGTCTCACTGCCTCGCATAAACAAAGCATCACTCAATGCTTCCATCATTTTTTATCGCATTTTCATGAGGCGCGTTTAATCTTCGGCGAAGTTGCTACTCATTGAACTTTAACTCCTTAAACCTAGCAATAGTGTGTATAAGGGTGTGTCACAAACTTTTAAAATTTTTTTCGGAACCTCTAAAAGTTTAGTTATTCATAGTTAGCTTAGCTTTGCTTAGACAAACGTTGTCTTTATTTCTTTCTCACCACTTAAGCGAAGGCCATTTTTACTCAGAAATAATTGAACAGTTTTATTAGGTAACATATCTTAAGTAAAGTTATATAAAGCAAAATATGCAAAACTGCGCCTTAAATAAAACCGCATTTAGCCTAAGTTGGAACTCTATCCTTTCTCATAGAGTGAAGAGCTCAAGGCAAAACATTAAGTAATTTATGACACACCCTAGTGCGCAGATACGTACATATGTAAGTTGTGTACATTAAATTTTACCAGAAAAAAAGTTCGCCGTATCCCTTCTTCCCAAAGTATTTTTTCAAGGCAATTTAAAAAAAATATATATATGAAATGTTTTTTCCGCCCGAATGTAGTGGTCGCATTTTAAAATTTCTCTTCATATCTTCGGCATTTGCAACCGGATCTTAAAGTATAATATACCGATGTTTTTGCCTCCAGGAGACAACTTTTTTATTTTAAAGTTCATTGGCCTCTAGCACTCAGTTTTAGTTTTTAGCCACCAGATCTCATTTCTTATCACCCTAACTTACCAGCCTAATATCATTAAAATGATTAAAAATCAAAATTTTTAAATCAAGCTGAGCAGCTAAGCACTTGAAGCACTTGAAGCACTTACAATGCATTTTATTATACTAAAAGTTCATTGGTAAAAAAAACACCAAAAAAAAAATCGGAGTCATGTGCGCTTTTTATGGCCCTTTTAAGGCATTTTTGAGTTTAGGTTTTTATGGGAGGTATGCTTTAAAATAAATCAATCACGTCTATTTTTAGTATTTTTCTCGATTTATATAAGCCCTTAAAAATTAGATATGGAAAATTGAAACCCTACGCCAACACCTTCCAATTTTTTCCAAAATATTTATGGGGATTCCCCGCTATCTGTCACCCCTGAAATTAGAGAATACGGAAGAGTAAGAAACCCGGTTTTTGTTTTAATAGCTAATAATACCTAATGGTATAATCCTCAGTGGTTCTTTTAAATAGAAATGACGAGAATTTTATGGTGTTAAAAAAATTTTAGAACAATTTTCTTAATTAGTGCACAACGCCTTCACCCTCAGCTTGATCACTTAAAATCCTGATTTTTTACACCGTGCAAAGTATAAAAAATGAAAAATATAGATTTTTTAATTTTTTATTTTTATTTTTTTTTTATTGACAAACGCCAAAAAATTTCAACAGTTCCACAGAGTCAAGAACAGTCGGTAGCCGTTTTCTCTGCTCTAATCCCCGCACTTACACAAAAAATTACACCTTCGCGATTTTTTTCTTTGTCTTTGTAGAAATATGCGTAATATTTAAATCCTTAAGGACTATTCACACCGAATGCACTTTGAAAGTAATAGAAAACTGCTAAAAATGATTTAAACTTATGACTTTCTTTTACTAAGACACCGACTATAACTGAGTCAGTCTTTAGTTTTACGTTCTCCTTTTATTTAAAAATTCTTTGAGTTTAAGATTTCATACTCCTAAACTAAAGTTGTATGAATACATAAGAAAACCATAAAGCATTGTACAATCTAATCACTAAATTAGTGGACATAGTGTTGCGGAAGAGCAAAGCGCCGAAAGAGCAACGATTTCTTCAAAAGATCACAAAGCGTCGAGTTTTCGATTTCTTGCTTTCTAGTATAGGGGAAAAAATTATTTTCAAGCCAATACTTTCCTTTTATGCTCTAGGCACGATTTTATCGACACTTTTTGTGCTATCGTTTATAAATACATAAACGTTACTTATCGGCGCTTTGCTCGTCGCTCTACTGTGTTCGCTGCCTATGCAACCATGAGACCATGAAACCTCTCTTATCAGTTGATGCAGCAGATTATCGATTTTTGTTGTGTCACTCGTACGTCTTCTTATCACACTCTCGGTATTTTTGTTACAATGCATTTGCGTTATGTTTTGTTTTGTTTTGTTTTTTTTTCAGCGTGTAATATGCATTATGCATATAATCGTAAACATGACTCGTCATAAATTGAGTTCATAATTTATGTCGAGTCATCCCCTTCTTTCCGAATTAATTGAATTCTCGGATCATCACATAACGGTTGTTTGTTTATTAAAAATCATTTAGAGGTCGCGATGTGTCGTTTTAGGTCAGAAAGTACGGTTTTGTAAATTTATGAGTTTTCGAATGATTAGTTTTCATTAAGTTTTAAAGTTCGAACATGTTGGGAGAATAGAATTTATAGGCCTTTAAAATAATGTATAATAATATATTCTCAGACTTGGATTGTTGGGAGTTTTTTCTTATATTTTTAAGTTTTGACCATCATTAATTGCCACGATTTTAAAAAATATACTATCTAAAATTAAATCAATTTTCAAATAAACTGATACCACATTTATTGCAATGGCATAAACATTGTTGAAGTTAGGCAACTTTTCTTAAATACTGCCTTGAATTTATATGTGTGTATGTACCGGAATTTCAGATTTTTTTGAGCAGTGTTGCTAAGGAGTTCATCAATATTTATTCAAAACTTATATATACAATCGCTCTTTAGCAAAAAAGTGTTTTTTCAAGAAATTCTATGAAAATGGGGGTGACACCGCCCACTTATATGATATATGCGTATCTCAAAAACTACTTGACCGATCTCGACCAAATTTGGTGTACATATTGTGCTTCGCCTCCTTGAGCACCGTCTTGAATATTTTTGCAATCGGACAAAACCTACGCCCCCTAAAAAATATTGTTAGCTTTGAATTTTTTAAATTACCGTTACGTACATGGAGCCCATGGTTTTGTTCGATTTCAAAAATATTCAATATGGCGCTTAAGGAGCCCAAGTTCAATGTGTATATGTAGCAAATTTGGTCGTGATTAAGCATGTAGTTTTTGAAATTCGCATATATCATATAAGTGGGCGGTGCTACGCCTATTTTCATAAAATTTCTTAAAAAAAAAAACACTTTTCTGCTAAATAGCGACTGTATATATCAATTTTGAATAAATATTTTCGATGGGCACTTTAATGTACATCTATGTGCATAAGCCTTTAGATCCACTTTCACAGTGGGCTTCAAGCAGTTTTGGGTTTTATGAAAATGGTTCTCCATCTGATCAACGGGAGGTTGTTTTTAAATGTTTGAATGTTGAAAAATAGTAAAAACTAAAATCGCAGCTGATACAGTTTTTTTGAAATATTGCCTTATTAAAATTTTTCATCGTACAGTGGCTCACAGCTTATAAAATTAATATTGTGGGAAATTCGACCTTCTTGGTGCAACGGCTGGTTGAGCTCTCATCTAAGCACATTCAAGAGTTTTTAATGTGTTATTATGTTTAAAATTGTCTAATACAAAAGAATAGCAATACACCAAAAAAAAAACATATAAAAATAAGAATTTGAAAAAAAATAAAATTGAAAAGTACAAATAAATGAATTGCAAAACGCGAAAGGATGACAATACACAAAAAAATATACAACAAATTCCAATTAAAAAATATACAAAATTAAAAACAAATAAAAAATACATATGAATAAATATACAAAAAAAAAATACAGAAATTAAAATTAAAACAAAAAAAATCAATTAAAAAGTACAAAAGAATACAAAACCAAACAAAATAAAATTCATATACATATCTAATTTATTTTTGGGCCAATTAGGCTTCTTTTTAGAATAATCTTAAAATATTCCTGAAATATTCCTGAATTTAGATATCTATAAATGGTCCAGAACTAGTTGCAAATGGACTTCAACTAGCCACGAAATGATATCGAACAACTTCCGAAATTATTCTGAAATAGTTCTGAACAGATAAGGAAACGATCCCGAAATGGTCCTAAACTTATCGTGAACTAGTTCTAAATGGTACTGAGAGAGCCCTGAACTATTTCAGAAATGTCCATTTGTACACACAAGAACCAATTAAAGGTTTTCTGCCGAGTTAACACAAATATCACCCATACCGAGAGCTAAGGTGTTAACACATAAAAAAAAAAGAAATTAAAAACTTGTATAAGTATTTTACTATAATGCAGAGGTGGGCAGCCTCAGCGCAGCACTTGTGCGTGCGAACAAGTCGTGCAGTTGAATGAAGCTTTCGCTGCCTTCTCAAGCAGAGCGTGTACGTGTGCGCGAATACGACGCGAATATACCCGCCGGGCGGAGGCTGTCCAGGCCCTGCAAAAAATGGGACTAATCCGGGATGACTCCGGGAGCAATCGCAAAGGAGCATGCGACTAATACCACTTTTGATCTCTTTATATGGAATCAACTGATCGCTTTTGTTCGGGCATGTCCTATGAAGAGACTAATTGTTCACCTTTATACCCGAACGGGTATAAAAAGCGACTAGTCACTTTAAAAAAATAAAAATAAAAATTTGCGCCAGCTGAGATTCGAACCGGGGTGCTCAGTTTTGTTAGGCGAATACTCTCTCTGTGTGCCAACGCCGCACATGAAATTTCATTGACTAAGAGCGTACATATCATTAAATCGTTAATAGTACCCGTTAGAGATGAGTTGGGGACTAATTGATCTCCAATTATACCCATAAGGGATGAATCGAGACTAATTAACCTTCATTAGTACCCGTATGAGACTAGTTGCGACTAATTAATGCCCAATTGTACCCGATTGAGAGTAATCTCGGAATACTCTCTTTAGAGATTAGTCGCACAATTTTTTGCAGGGGGGCTACTAAAATGACTTGTGTATGTACAGCGTTTATCTGAGTTTTCATAAAAGCTTATTTTAATCCTTAAAAGCGATTCTGAAATATCACGAAATAACCGAATTCGTTGCACGAATCTCATCTAGTATTCTAGGGTTAA